CTTGTACTATTTTCACAACTTTTCTGTATCAAAATCAAAAGTTATCAAAAAATTTAACCCCTTAAAAGTAAAACATAAAGGTAGTGAATATTACCAGTATACATTATAAAAAGTGTTTCCATTTTCTACCTGGTGATAGGGGTGCATTTTACTGTCTATAAATTATGTCTTTAAAAAAAAAAAACTAGGGCTTCCCTGGTGGTGCAGTGGTTGAGAGTTCGCCTGCCGATGCAACGGACTCGGGTTCGTGCCCGGTCCGGGAAGATCCCACATGCCGCAGAGCGGCTGGGCCCGTGAGCCGTGGCGGCTGAGCCTGAGCGTCCGGAGCCTGTGCGCCGCAACGGGAGAGGCCACAACAGTGAGAGGCCCGCATACCGCAAAAAAAAAAAAAAAAAAAATCTGTTTCCTCATCTATAAAATGAAGATAATAGTACTTCTCTCACAGAATTGTTGTAAAAATTAAGTATCATGATATACATAAAGGCTTAGAATAGTAACTAGCACACAGTGGGTGCCCAATAAATACAAACTATTATTAAGTATTCATTTGAAGTGATCAAATTAAGTTCTGCCAGGCTCAATCTGGCTAGACCAGGAATAAAGATGAGTGACAGCTGATAATGAGCTCCTTTTTCTAGTCCCAGTTTCTTCCCTATTAAAGGCTCATCTTCTGCCCACTCCTGAACTCCTCCAGAATTCTTTTTTTTTTTCTGTACGCGGGCCTCTCACTGTTGCGGCCTCTCCCGTTGCGGAGCACAGGCTCCGGACGCGCAGGCTCAGCGGCCATGGCTCACGGGCCCAGCCGCTCCGCAGTATGTGGGATCTTCCCAGACCAGGGCATGAACCCATGTCCCCTGCATCGGCAGGCGGACTCGCAACCACTGCGCCACCAAGGAAGCCCCCTCCAGAATTCTTGACATCATCTTCCCCTACTTACATCTTCTGGCTCTGAACTCAAGTGATAATCACACTGTTGAAGCCAATTATCCTGAATGCAAATGCTCCGGCCTTGTCCTGTTTCCTACCACGCCAGAAGCCCCTGGAGCTCTCGGGTTCCCGTTCTGTTTCTTCAGTGTCCTTTTCCCTCCTTCCCCTCTTGGCACAGCACTGAGGCCGTGTGCTCTGTAAGTAACTCTGGTCTTTGAAACGCTCAGGTGGAGTTTCAGGAGGCTTTACTCGTGCATGTCTCAATGGGGTAGGGTGAAAACAAATGACACTGATGCTTACTCATGAAGATGCACAGTATAGTGTTTTCCAACAATTTTTAGGCTTTTAATCACCAGGAACTCATTTGAGACACCCATTCTCTCCCGCAGATCTTGCTAACTTAGACTCAAAGAGCCAACTCCTTGAACCCAAGGATTATGCCCTCTTCCTGTTCTAGAACAGTCCCCTGACTACCTACCATTAACACCATGTGCTCTATTCTGATTCAAATAGCAGCACCTGCTTTTTAAATACTTGTGTTAGCATATGTATTTGACCCACAATGTCTGTAAGGTAGAAATCATCCTTTCCTCTCTTTACAGATAAGGAAACTGAAGTTGGAAGAGACTAAGCAACTCCCACCGTCACATGGCAAGTTAAGTGGTGGAGGAGGGACTCGGACCCAGGTCGTCCAGCTGGGAACCCTAAGCTCTTCCCGTGGAGGCCCTGCCCCTCCCTTGTTCCCTGCTCCCTGTCCGTGCCCTCCCTTCGAGGCACTTTACTGCTGGAGCAGTCACCTTGACTCTCACCCATGTTCCACACAAGACTGCTCAGCAAACACGGGAACGTCTGCCCTGCTCCTGCCAGGTCTGTTTACCCCAGCATCATACTTTAGTGTCCGAGGGGAAGTGGTGCTTGCAGCACACTTAGAGAAAAGAGTGGTGATAACTTCCAGATGAGCTTGTGATTCTAAATTTAACATTCCTTTCGGTACTGAGAATTTCCACTTTCCCCCTTCCACCCCTTGGCATTTATGTAATTATAAAGCATGCCACAGGAGATCGTTTGTCTCAGCACCACTCGGGATGAAGGTTGTTCCAGCCCCATCAAGTACATCCTTGTGGAAAGACTTTGCAGAATTTATTTGGACAGGTTCAGAAATAGTCCTTCAACAATACAATCAGATTGAACCATGACAAGTAAAATATAATTATGGCTTGGTTACATTAAAAAAAAAAAAGTAAACAGTGAGGTTTGGGAAAACTAAAAGCGAAAGTACATAGATATTTCCTTCATTCCCAATTTCTGCATCTCCTGCAAGCAGGATTTCAAGACTGCATCCGTGGATCTTTTGAAATGGGTGAGAGAGGATGACAATCAAGGAGACAGCTCAACAGAGTGTGTTCTGAGGCCATTTCTCAGAACAAAGGCATACTTCTGCACAAGGCAAATGCAGCCTGATAAAGGCTCCCCCAGTGGGTTCTCAGAATGCCAAAGTCATTCACCTAAATGAGTTCAAAATACATATTGTTCTGGGCCAAATTATACAGTGTCAAGTTCAGACTGTATGGATTTATATATGTTGGCAGGGCAGGCCACTTTTGGGGCGCCACAGCTTTATCCCAGTATCCTGTGCCCAGTTGGGTTCCCATCACTCTCTCCCCAAACCCATGAATTTCCTTGTATTTGGCTCCAGAAGTGCAGACAAAAAGCAAAGTTTCACAGGCCCACAAGGGAACAGGGCCCCAGAGGACTTGAATTTCTGATGAAACTTAAAGTAGAACAGAATGTGTGCCTTTGCCAACAAGCTGGGACTTTCTGAAAGGTGATTTGAGACGGGAGCAGGGAGAGGGGACAAGATCGAGCATTGTGCTTTGGGCCAGTCTCTGCTAAGAGCTACAAGGCGGGAATACAAAGTACTCTGGAGTTAAAGCAAACAGCCAATGCTTCCCTTGGCTGGCCTTTGCCCAGAACTATTCCCTCACAGAGCTCAGTTTCTCAAAACACACAAGTGGTGTTTCAAAGATGCCGGGCAAAGGGGTCCATCCGAATAAATGCCTAAAACCTAATAACGAATGACATAGAGAAGTCTGATTCCAGTGTCCATTTCCACTCCATATTCTACTGACACATCTAGAGAATTAGTGGGCATGCTGTGTTTTCTGTTTTTGTCTTTTTTGGGAGGGGACCTGTTATTCTCCTCTCTGCCTGAATAAAGATGGAAGAATTGGGAGGAAACAGTAACTTTTAAAGCGAATATGGAGAAAAGTGTAAGAGATGAAACGGGTTGTAAGGTTATTTTTCTTTTAATTACATGAGTGTCTTGATCATGGAATGAAGAGGGCAGAGTGAAAAGCAGCGGAATGGCTATGGCAGGCCAGGGCCATGACTTCCAGTCCTGGGCTCAGGCCCATCTTTGGGCTTCAACTGATGCAAAGAAATGAAAAAGCCCAGAGAGCAGAGGAGCCTGGACAGTTTGTAGGGCCGAGAGCCACTGCTGCCTGTTTTGGTCCAGAGTTTAGCACACCTTTCTGGGAAGGGGGCTGGGGTGAAGGATGAGGAAGGAAAAGGGGAGAAGGTATACCTACACTTGCAAGAACTGTCTAATCACTGTTCCCGAATTGGGGTCAGACACCAGCTCCACCCTGATGCCCACCCCATCCCTCCACACCTCTCCTGCCCCTGCACACTCGGGCTATACTGACCTACTTGTGGTTCCCCAACAATAAAACGCACTGCCATGATTCTGAGCCTTTGCAAAAGCTACCTTCCCTCTCTTCCTGTCTGTCTGGAAGGTCCAATGAACTTCAAGCTTCAGCCCGCATTGTCCCCTCCTCTGCCAGGCCGTCCTAAGGAGACTTAGCTGCTCCTTCTCCTTTGCTCTCACTGCACTTTGTCTACACTCCTCCTCGTCCAGTGTCAGAAAGGGTTTGAGTGTCTGTCTTTGCTTCAGACTCTAAGCTCCTTAAAGGGGCCTGTGTCTTGTCTCTCATCCATTTACCTCTGCGGCCTATAACAGTGCTCGGCTCACGGCAGATGCTCAATCAACATTTAAAGGGACAAGTGGGATCAAGTTCCACCCATCTTAATTTTATTATAAAGAGAGAGAAATAAGATCTGAAAGACTGAGCTCTGAGATTCTGCACATTTTTAGAAGAAATTGCTACAATACTACTTTTGTGTCTAGCCTCCCTGGTTCAAGTGAAACCAAAGGTATAAATTCACAGAGGGGCATGAGTAGTGGCCCTTTTGTCCTCAGACTTCAGCTGCTATGTGAAGATGAAATCAACCCCAAACATGGCCTTCCGGCCAGCTGTGTGAGCCACGAGCTCTCCCCAGCCCCCAGGACAAAGCCCCCAGTGCTGAGGCCCGGACGGTGTCGAGCTCCTTGAAGCTGTGGGGAATCATGACATCAATGGAGTGAGCCACTGACAGACACAGCGAGGCTCCGTACCTGCCAAGACAGCCCACTACCCGACCTCAGCGCGGCAGACACAGCCGAGACGCGCCAGCCAGGTCCGATGATGACAACACGGGGCTTTAAAGAACGGCCAGAGCAAGCGAGGATCCTCAAGGCATTTGTCATCTTCCCCGGACAACGCAGCAGCACTCTCCAAGCTCCGATTTATGAGGTGGAAGCAGCTCTGAAACTACACGTTAAGGGGCGAGTGGGGAGGAATGCACAACGGCTGTGGTTCCAGTAAGGCTCTAAAGAGAGGCTGGGACCAGGCGGTTACAGCTGCTGGCAGTCCAAATATACTTTTCCTCCTGCTCAGAGACCCTTTAAAGGCAAAGAAACGCAGGCAATGCACTGGGCTGCCTATTTTTGTTTCATTTATTTCTTTTAAGACCACCTCCTTGCAATTTCCAGAGAGAAAATACAAAACAAGAAACAGACTTGGTTTCAAATACATAAACAGTGTGCTGGAGTTTAAAGCATTACTGATAACATTGTTACAGAAGAGTGTCAGCTTACTCCAGGGCACTTCAGTATTCCTGAGGAATAAACGTGATTTCTCTTTCCCTCCCACCGGGATGTTCTCAGACGTGAGTCACTGCTCCTGCTCCTGTAAGGAAGGACACTCAGGTTAGAACTGTGCACACAGCGTTCCGACAACCCTCTCTAACTTGCTGCTGCAGGTCAGACCCAGAGGACCAATGGGCCCCAAGCCTTACCACTCTGTTTGCTTTAAATCTGTCTCACAAGAGGACTGTATCCTTCCAGCCCAGGTTCTTCAGAGTGGCTCCTCAATCTTTGAGGGGGGAAAATAGAAAAGGAACGCAACAGGGCTGAACAGTCTGTACCTGGATAACTATATTCCTAAAACCCATCAAAGGGACGGATCCCAGGTGAGTGGAAAGAGCATGGCTCTGGAATCAAATGGCCTACTCATGACAGGAACTTCGGCAAGTTTCTTAAACCTCAGTGAAATTCGGCCTTCTCATCTGCTGAATGAGGGTAGTAAAACCTCTCTCACAAATCTACTGGGAGAGAGGTCTAGAGAAAGAATGTAAAGATGGAGCGCCTAGGATGGTCCACAGGTCATAGCAGGCACTCAGCAAGCAATTACCATGATATGACTACACTGAAAAAGCCCCAAGTTGGGATTTTGTTCCTCTTTTCAGAGAATGGAGGATGACGACATCAAGGCACAGACTCCAGTTCAGATAAAGTTACAAAAGGCCATTTTGGAGCCGTACGCACAAGGCTGTAAATACTGTAACAATATTTTCCACAGTAACTCTCAGCCATTAAATACATCCACATATAACCACCCCTGAGCCATTTATCCATGACAACTCAGTTTGGAACAACGAAAACATTTCAAACAATTAAAAGACCTGAAGCTCCTCTCCCTGTTCCTTTATGTTCTCCTTTAACTTCAGCCGTGGTGCCAAGAGAGCGAGGCGCCAGGGAGCAGTGGAAAGCGCCTGTCGTCAGCGCTGACGGCCCGCAGCTGCGCCTCTGCTCACTTGCGCTGTCCCTCTGATCAGCTCACCCTGGCTCTGGCGCGGGGACGGGACATGACCACAGAGGGCCTGCGAGACGCCTGCCCGGCTTCCCCACTGGCCGGCTCCCCTGCTCCCAGTCCCCTCCCCAGGTCCGCACCGGCTGTTCAGTAGGCAGCTGACCGTCTGAGCACGTTCTCAGATAGAGGCTACCGAGCTGTGGTGGCATACTGTCATTTAAGATTCGGCCACCCTTGTGGCTACAGCTTTTGACCAGAACTGGGACACTCATTTGTACCTCCTTTTCTGCCCTACTTGTTATTATGGTGGAACAATGAACGAGTCAGTCACCCTTTCTTAGTTGGCCTCAATTATAATAACCAACATTTCTATTTATATACATATATAGCACCTCATAGCTTAAAAACATTTTCACATTTAATCCTCACGACAACCCTGTAGGCAGAAATTACTACCCTCATTTTACAGACAGAAAACAATCTCAGAAGTGAAAAACTCAAGAGCACATAGAAAGCAAGTGATGGACCAGGACTCACATCTGGGTGTCCTGGCTTCTGTGCTTTCCACTGGCCCCCTGCTGCTGCCCAGATCACAGTGATTCTAGCTCAAGGGTAACCAAGAAAGTAGATGATTCTACACATCCAGAGAATGTGAAGCTCTTCATGAAGCTTGTGTTGCTATGAAGGTTATGCCTTAATAAGCCTGAGGCCATTAGCACATCTAATAAGACATACAATTTATTTCACTCATTCATTTTACATTTATTTGAGCACCTACTTTGTTCCAGGCCCTGGGGATACAAAAATAAATACCACCTCTGTCCAAAGGGCTGCTACACACAAAAACCTTAGGAACCGTGCTACCTCCTTCCTCTTGAGGCATGTGTTACACTTTTTCATCCTGTCTGCATCATTAAAAACCCATCTGTAGACAAGGACTTCGGCAGAATCATGTGGGACTCACAGTCAAGAACCTGCGCTCTTCAGTAGAAAGCAGAATAATGGCTGAGTTCAGAAGTCTTTAGGTTTAGCTTGAACGTGTGTGAGAAGTTTACAGGGCACTCTGAGATCTCGAACAAAAGTGCTACCTACAGGTATCAGATATTTAATTTAAGGATAAATGCTGAGGCAGACTCCTGAGCACTTAGGATCTCGGTGGTGCCACAGTGACATGACAGTGTATTTATCAATTATACGCACTCTAAAGAATTCTACGGGGACTCAGGAGAAAGAAAGAGAAATATCAATTCTGTACATACTTTGACATATTTTCCATGTAGAAGATATGGAGCCTGGAAATCATGCTGACAGTTGGAGTAGGCCATTCCCAAGCCCATTCCAGAACCAAAGGCTAATGGCCACATTCTTCCTGGTGAGCAGAAAAGGAAAATCCCAATAGGGAACCATTAAGAGAAAATAAAGCTTTTCTCCAGCTTAAATACATTTGCTTAGGGTTCAATAAATACTGCACATGCATCATACTGTTGACTATAATATGCCATACACTTCTGTCAACGTTTAATCACCAGCCAAAAAATGGGAAAGGGGGCTCTATTAAGTACCCGTGCTGCTAGATTTGAGGTATTAATAAGCGGTACAATATGAAAACAGTAGACACAGTTGAACCTCTTAACTTTTCTATGTCAGTTCTAACCATTTGCTCATTTTAACTAACTCTTAAACTTAGAAATAAAACCACCTTTCGGTAAGGTCTTTGAATTTTTTAAATATGTAAGAATTTCTGGAACTTCCCTGGTGGCGCAGTGGTTAAGAATCTGCCTGCCAATGCAGGGGACATGGGTTGGCGCCCTGGTCCGGGAAGATCCCACGTGCCTCGGAGCAACTAAGCCCGTGCGCCACAACTACTGAGCCCACGTGCTGCAACTACTGAAGCCCGCACGCCTAGAGCCCGTGCTCTGCAACAAGAGAAGCCACCGCAATGAGAAGCCCGCGCACTGCAATGAAGAGCAGACCGCTGCCTCCGCTGCAACTAGAGAAAGCCCACACACAGCAACGAAGACCCAACGCAGCCAAAATTAAATATAAATAAATTTATTTTTAAAAAAATAGAATTTCACCAATATCTACATATTTTGATTCCAGTAAGTCATGAGGTTTTCTTAAGCCAATGCCATGATTATTTCACATCAGCACTATGTGTGAATTATGATTCTCTAGTTGTGTATTCCCCACCAGTTCTTCATGGAAAGAGGTCAAAGTGACCCCTTTGGCTTCTATTCAATATCCAAACTGCAGAAGTTCTTCCACAAAATGAAAGGGACATTTCCTGCCCTTTGCTTAGGAGAATTTTTGGCCAAAAAGCATGGGTATTTCTGGTCTACTTTTTTACTACCAGCAGGACTCTCGTTTTCAAGTTCCTTTAGAAAAAATTATAATTAATTAGAATTATCTGAGAGTGTAGATTTGGCCAAATGACTCACTGGCATAAAGTACAGGCTTTTTTTAATGAAGATATCAGGCACCCTGACTCAATGCTCAGGGGGAATTCTGGAGATGCCCAGCCCATTTTGACCTCTTTTGAGTCCACGGTCTTTGTCTAGCTCATTTTACAGAGGCCTACCTAAACCCATAAAAGGATGGACTGGCAGCCATGTAGCCATGCCTTCCAGAAGTGTCCCTGCCATGTGCACCTATACACCAGGACATTATGTTGTAAAAGTAGGAAGAGTCACACTTACTTTTAAAGAAGGTAAGTGAGAAAACAAGTCCTAATCCAAAACCAGTACCTACAAAGAGGGAGGAAAAACATGTTAAATATCTTAATAGTAATGACAAAAACAAAACGAACATTTCATAAATGTGAACACCTATAAAACAGATTTTTTAATTTGGTAGAGAGATGATTTTCTCATTTCTAACCTTCCTTCTTGTTGTCAGAGGCTTTATCTATGCCTTTGGTCCCTTTGCCCCAATAGGGGATAAGAACTTTCTTCACCATTCTGTCTAAACGAGTCTTAGGGGTGGGGGAACAAACCAGGAGGCAGTTCCCGAGTAGAGGCTCTCTGCACTGCTTGCGAACAGCGTCCAGCACCTTGGGCTCTCCCACCCACCTTCCGCAGCGGTGCCACAGCCAGCACATCAGGGAAACAATGTCAGCAAGAAGCTCCCCTTGTCGTTTCAGCACTTTGAGTGATGGCTACTTTTTGAGGAAGATGCAAAGGAGTGATCCAGAACAGTTGCCAAAGGTTGTCACAAGTCAGAGTGTCCAGAAAGAGGGAAAGCACCTCCTCAAATGTGAAGATTAATCCCCTCTCCTCATTTTACTCATAGGGCATTTTTAACCACTATCTTTCAAAATAAAAGAACAAATGCAAGCCTCTTTTAATGATCTGGTAGAAAAAAAAAATTTTTAATACCTCATTTTAAATCAAACTTCATATGAACGTACGCTTGGGGTTAAAAAAAGAAAACAAAAAAGGTTAAATTCTCATTTTGACCAATATTTCTCAAACCTTGGTCACTGCTACAGTCATAATTTTTGCTAATGCGTACTTCATCTGCACACTTATTTTCTTTGAAAAAACCATCAATGTATGTATTTAATTATATAAATTCAACCTCAACTTAAATAATATTGGTATAATCATAGATTTGAGTGCTAGCTATATTTTTTTCATAAGGTGTGTTAAAATGAATGTAGAACCATTAAAATGAAAACATTTACCTGTGGTACTACTTTAGGGGAAAAAATCATCTCACATACTGTAGAGATACATGTCCCAAACTTGGAGATAAACTTATTTTTCCATTATCAAAAAAGTAAGTTATACATGCCAAGGAAGACAGCTAAGATCTGATTTTTTTTTTCCCCAGACTTGACAGATTAATTGTTTTCAGACTCTTCAGAGTATTCTGACGCTCTTTACTAAGTGTCTGCTCCATGGTCCAACAGAGACCCTGACCAACCTCTTTACAATTAAGCACCACATAAAAGTCCCAATTCTCACTTGCCTTAATGGTTTTCAAATATGTGCTGTTGAAATTCCAAGAGCTTCTTTCCTGTCTAACCATGAATTTAGGCTACTGCAGTGTGAACAAAGTACTCCTCAGTCAGCAAACCTGACCTTTCTGCTCCAAACACAGAGAACTTCGTCTTGAGCAAACAAGCTAATCCACACCTTTTTTGCTTCACCTATGCAACAATCCAGCTGATGCTGGCCTGAAGAAAGTGTTTATGCTATTATCCAGAATGATTTCTGATAATTTTCTCTTACTGTCTATAGGTGGCCATGATGTGTGTTTCCTTCCTATGACTATATCCTATACAAATATGAATTTTAATTAAAAATCATTACTTTGTACTGTCCAATAGACTCTGCATTAGGTACTGGTGCCCAACTTTAAAATGCAACATTTGAAGATCACTCATGTCATCCCAATTTCTATGTAATTTAATATAATGATGGAAAACTCGTCAGCTTACAGACCACTATAGTTAACCTATTCAAGGCTGTTATAAAGAGAAGGAAAAGGAACAAACATCAGTATTTCCCATGAGTACCCAACATTCCCTCCCTACTCTACCAAAAAAAAAAAAAAAATTATCTTTTCAACCAAACACCACCCTGATATGGTATTACCCCCCAGTTTCCAGATGCAGAAAATAACTTGCTCAAGGACATGCTCAGTTACTGGAAGAGCAATGAACTGGGCCCAAGTCTGTCAGACTCCAAAGCCACTATACCCACTATGTCCTGACACTGGATTCCCCTACAACTTAAACCCCTAAACAATCACTGCCTCCAAGGGAAATTGGAGTGTCAAGATTTCTACTGCCAATGAAGTAGGATACAGCCAAAAACCAAATTGCGCTTCCTATGCAACAGCCCAGAACGCTAGGCAACCAGGGTAGTGACAAGTCTGCACAAGGCCAGATGGGCTTGTTCCGATTCATTCCCAGACTAATCCTACAGCACATGTCACAGACACAAGTCTACCTGGTAGGTGTGATTCAAGAACTTCAGGGAAATGGCAACTATCACGATCGATATAGTCCTCAGCAAGAATCTGCTGTTGCTTGGTTTATAAAATGGCACAGGATTCAATTTCAAAGCAACTTGCCTCACCCCCTTGCAGCTGGAAGATGAGTAAGACAGTAAATTGGTACTAGAAAATGAGGTAAAGAATTTGGACTGGCCTACAGATTTCAAACCAGGCAATGGGATGGGGAGTTAGGCCAGTAAAAACATAATGGCTTACAATCTGAGCTTTTGGTCTTCTCCATCTGGAAGGCAATTTTTTGGCAAACAAATCAAAAGCCCAAAAGGAAAATATTTCAGCATTTTTCTTGTCCCTCTGATTCCATGCCTGTCTCTCCTATTTTCCCCCAAGGAAAGAAAGCTCTCTGATGCTCAACTTTTCCTAACAGTAGACCAAGAACGATGCTAAACCCACTGCTACCAGTATCACTCAACCACAAGAGGAGAAATGCTTCAACATCAACCAGTACAGAGCAGAAAATCTTCCCTCTCTAGACTTCATTTAAGTTCAGGTATATGCCTGACCATCCAGTTTTGCTCCGATTAAAGGCATTTACCTGCAAGTATAAATATGAGATCAAGATTACAGTTCAGACTAGCCCAAAGGCGGAGTGTACCCTACAGTCTTAGTTAAACTGGGCCGCTACACCTTCAATTCCTATGGGACTTTTCTTCTCCACTTCTATATTTTTAAGACACAAAATATCAAGTCTGTTCTCTTCAGAAAAAATAATATGGAAAATGATGTTTAAATGCCAACGTGTTACTTTAAGTTAGCTACCTCGGTTATTTAAGAGATAAACAGTGGTGGAACTGCTGATGGGTTTTACAGGTTCAAGTTCTCACATGCTCAATTTTCCTTTAAAAGGCAACATGTTGCTTCAAAGAAAGTCCCACCTGATTAGGGGACACCAACTCTGCAGCTGTTTCCACTAAAGATTGGCACCTCTAGGCCAGGTTTAAACTTCATAACAATAAAACATGAAAGGTTTGTCTTACAATGAAAACAAACCAACATGGAAAAGAGAAGAGTTTTCTCTGCCTTTGGCCACTTTTTTTTGTTGTTGCATGACAAGTTCTCTTAGAAGAAAAAGCCAAAGGAAAAAGTACAAAGCATTTTTCACCTTCCCTGGAAGCAAATATTTAACTATGAATAAAATTTATATAACTCTGCCTCCCCTTTTAAGCCTGTTCTTTTGGCCCATGATGTCTGGAATGACAAATAACCCTAAAGTAAAGAAATGCCTGATTGTAGGTACACATCTTCCTAATGGCAAAGTCCACCAAGGGGGTTGGGGAGCAAGGCAAAGAAGCCAAAAAAACAACAAAAAAAAACCCCACCCCATAACAGAGAAGCCTTATGGAATTGACATTAGGCAGGAAGCCCGTGCTCTGAAACCATTTCTTCTGGAAAGGAAAAAGAATTGGCACAAATTCTTTCAAAAAGAAATTACTCTGAATCAATCTAACCCTGCACTAAAGTGCTTAGGGCATGCTTAGTGCCCAAAAGGACATCATAAAACCAGCTAGTAGATAAACACACATTTTTAGAAAGAAGCAATTCCTTAACAATTCATCTGATACTATTTTAGTAACAAAACAACAGAGAACTTGCTCCACTAACTACATAAAAAATACTGCCTCATCACATCCCCAAGTGGAGTTTATAACAAATTTAAAAGAATAACAACCAACAGCAGGATACCAGTGTATACCCTAAGCCACACTTTGTGTGGGGGTGGGCGGAACTATGCTGATGGCCCTCACTGTGACATATGGACCATTTCTAGTTAATCAATGCAACTTTTAGGAAAGTCTTTGCTCTTACCATGCCATATATCATAAAGCTTGACTTCACTGAAATTACTGAGAAAGCAAACATAATCTGCAAGAATTAAGAAGCAGGCTACATAATCTGACTGCAGTCCTGGGGCAGAAACGTACTTTGAATTTTTGGGGGGGCCGCACCGGACGGCATGCAGGATCTTAGTTCCCCGACCGGGGATCAAACCCGGGCCCCCTGCAGTGGAAGCGCGGAGTCTTAACCACTGGATTGGCAGCCAAGTCCCAGAAGTGTACTTTGGATATCAGTCCCTAAGCAGAACAAGTTGGAGCAATAAAGGTTCCTGTGGAATCAACTTTGTAGAAGTTGCAATTGCCAATGGACTTTCAACTGAGGAAGAATAACTCAGTGTTGGGAGAGGCATAAAAACATCGTTAGAAAGTCACTTAGAAAACAATTCTATGAAAGACTGATCACAGGGGAAAGAAGACCATAGACCCACTTTTATTTATCAATAATTGATTATATAATTAAGATCTCACTCCAGCTTATGGCTAACATTTTAAGCAAAGCTCCTAAATTCGTAAGTCTAATGTGTAGTTATCAATGCTAAATTTTCATCTGCATCTAAAAATTAAACTTGCAAAGCAACTCCATTTTAAGTTTATAATATAACAAGATGTATGAGCAAAACCTTAACTACCACATTCAACTGGCAGCTTATGAAGATGAGAAACTACAGGAACTACAAGCAAGGTTTCAAGGTCCTAGGAGCCATGGGCCAAACAACTTTATTCTTAAATGTCTGAAAGAAAAGATACAGCTTCCAAAAAATGAGAGATTTACTCTCCCACTGAGTGGGATGGCAAGAGCACTGATGCTGTCACGAGACAGGCCCAGTTCAGACCGCTGGGCCATCCTCACCAGCCAGCTCTCTGACCTTAGGTCAGGGCTTTAACCTCGC